TTCCTCACTGTACCCTCCACCCCCATCTCCAGGAGAATTGATTGGTTACTTTTATCACTGTAGATTAGTTTGTGTTTTCTAGAACTTTATATAAATATATGTAATTTTATATATAATTTTAATGTAAAGTTCTTAAATGGATTCATGCAATCTGTATTTTCTGGAGAGAGATGTTTCTGGTTCCTTTCAGCATGATTATTTTGCATGTTGTCTATGTTATTAAGTGGATCTGTCTTCATGTCCTTTTTTCTTTTTACTTTTTACATGGACCGGTTTATTAGGAAAAGGAGAAAAAGAAAGCCACCTGCTTAGTCCCAGGTGGCCAGGAGGGTTGCTAGTGCTTCTTTATTTCCCAGTAATATTCCATTTTATGGTGGTATGTATAAGGGTATCTTTTAAGAAGGTTAAAATTTAGCCCCCAGGGCCCTCCCTGGTGGCGCAGCGGGTTAAAGCACAGCACTGAGAATCTAAAGGCCGCTTCCGCATGAGTTCGATTCCCGCCTGCCCCGGAGGGGACCACATGGCGTGGCAGACCTCTCCTGACCCGCCCGCTGCTCCCCTCAGCAGTGTACTTCGTCGATCTGCCTGTTCTGTTCCCCACTCTGTCTCTGGTGAGGCCTCTCGCCGCTCCTGAGCCTCTGGCCTATACCCCAGTTCTGTATGCACAAATAAATAAATCTTTAAAAAAAAAAAAAATTTAGCCCCCACCCTTTGCCCATCGGGGTGGTCTGGGAGGCTTGAACAGATAAAAGTACTTGATAAGGTTGCTATGGGAACCAGGCCAGGAGCCTGACCCTTTTGATCCCGAATGTGGAAGCAGGACCAGGAAACTTTCTGTGTCCAAGGCTAACACCAAACTGCCCCAGCACTGACTGACCAAACTGACTCCTCAGTCATGGAAAACCCTCAACTCTGGCTCTAAAAGGGCTCCTCAAATCCTCCCTCCCTGCAGACCTCTGCTGCATCTTTTAGCAGTGCATTTCCCCTTTTCTGTTCTCTACTCTGACTCTGGTGAATTCTTTTACTTTCCCTCCACCCCATGACCATACCTATGGCTTCCCGGCAATCTTCTCTCCACAATTTTTTATGCTTATGGGACAGAACTGTGCTCCTCTATAACTCATATATGTTGAAGCCCTAACCTCCAAGATGACTATATTTAGAAATAGGGCTTTTAGGTGGGAATTAGGGTTAAGTGAGGGGGAAGGGTGGGCTCCTAAACCCATGGGAGAGAGGCTCCTCTCCTGTGTGTGTGCTGAGGAAGGACACAGCCAGAAGGTGGCCATCTGCAAGCCAGGGAGAGCACTCTCGCCAGAACTCCACCAGGCTGGCCTCCTCAGCCTGCTCCCAAACTCCGGGCCTCTGAGAAAAACCAATTCTGCTCTTAGTCGCCCACGCTCATTTTGTGTGGCAGCCTGAGCAGACTAACATGTGTGGCTCGACAGTTTGTTTTCTCATCCTGTGACAGGGCAACCCTGATGTGAAATGGTGGCCCGAGTGTGGTCCTCACCCACATGCTTAAAAATACTTACAATGAGACCCAACTGTAGACACATAAGAAGGTTAATAAACAAGGGAAATGAAAAGAGGAGAAAGAAAGGGAGATAAGTTGGTGAATGCATCCTACTCGCTCTGTTGAGCTGGGACCCCAAGAGCATGCTGAAGGCTGGTGAAGAACCAACCCCGCCACTCCCCCCCAAGGCCCACCTGTCTCTGGTTACACACCGACCCTGGCTGCTTAATTCCACCCGTAGTCCCCAGCATTTTTCCCTCAGCGGTGATTACATTATGGGTTTTCCAGTCCTTGGTGGCTGGGATCTCTTTGGCCTGGGGTGGGAGTGGAGCCCATGAAACCTGAGTTTGTGGAGTTCGTTCAGGATGTCCTCTCCCCCCAGGAGTTCCACGACTGATGGTCTAGGTTTTAGCTGTCTCTGGAGCACTGCTGTGGACTTTGTTGTGTCTGTCTTTGTGCAGATGGGCACTTTCATTTTTAACTGGGTGACTATCTAAAAGTGGGTTTTGTGTATTTTCCTTCTTAAGATGCTTTGAAACTGTTTTCTGAGGTGCCTGTACCCTGTTGCAGGCCCCACAGTGGCGTGTGGGGGCCCTGGGCTCGCCACATCAGTCTTAGGCTGGGCTCTGAATGGTCCCTGCAGAGCTGGCCACCCAGACACGCGGCAGAGCGCCAGTTCCCTCTGCAGCCCTCCCGCATACTCTTGTGTTCTCCAGGGAGAAGTTTTTATGCTTCTGGGGATTAATTTTCCATAGAAATTTAGAGTGACTGGGCCCTCCCTGCTGGCACAGTGGGTTAAAGCGCAGCACTGCAGGCGAGCCACAGCCACTTCAGCGTGAGTTCGATCCCCGCCTGCCCCGGAGGTGACCCACATGGCGCAGCAGACCTCTCCTGGCCCGCCCGCTGCTCCCCTCAGCAGTGTACTTCGACAGTCTGCCAGTTCTGCTCCCCACTCTGTCTCTGGTGAATCCTCTCACCACCCCTGCATCTCTGGCCTGTAACCCCAGTTCTGTATGTGTAAATAAATAAATCTTAAAAAAGAAAAGAAATTTAGAGTGACTCAATGTTTTTATCCCTTTTACATCCTTCTTTCATTGCTTTCCTGATTGTTTCACTTGCATACCTGCTGAGGCAACCTCAGAGTTTCTGGACTAAGACACTGAAAGGAGCCAGAGTTTTAAAGTCAGACACATCTGGATTTGAAAACAGGCTTCCCAGCTCAGCTGTGTGGCAAGTCATCTGACCTGAGCCTCAGTTTCCTCATCTGTTATTTTTTTTTAAAGATTTATTTATTTATTCATACAGAACTGGGGTACAGGCCAAAGGCTCAGGGGCGGTGAGAGGCTTCACCAGAGACAGAGTAGGGAGCAGAACAGGCAGATCGACGAAGTACACTGCTGAGGGGAGCAGCGGGCGGGCCAGGAGAGGTCTGCCGCGCCATGTGGTCACCTCCGGGGCAGGTGGGAATTGAACTCATGCGGAAGTGGCTTTAGCTTCTCAGTGCTGTGCTTTAACCCGCTGCGCCACCGGGGAGGGCCCTTCCTCATCTGTTTTTAAAAGGTGTGAGTGGGGAGGTTGATAGTCCCCAGCTGGCATGGTATTGTGAGGGGCAAGTGTAACACTTTGAAAACATTGAATATCTGTCAAACTGTTTTTACTTCTCAAGATGTATATTAACTCTAAGTTCTGTTGTCCATTTGACAGTGGTTGACCTGTGACAGTGAGTAAACAGGAGAACAGCAGTTGTAAGGGTGCTTACAACTTTGTAGTTACAAGGAGACCACAGAGAATAGGCCAAGAGTGACATTACCAGACCTCAGGGGCCCTTGCAACTTTTGTTAATGTCCAGGTCTTCCCTTGGCCATTGGCAATGCTGGGAATTTTTTCCTGTACATATTTATTTACTTTCGCTAAGACAATTCCTCTCCTCAGTGCATTCGGGAATCCGCAGGTTAGTTGGCTCCCACACCGTGGCTGTGCGAGGGATGTTTCTTGGGCTTCTGGGAGAAAATGTCTGGCTCTCTTAGCCCGGGTTGCAGTGTTTGAGCACTGTAGAAGCCTCTGTCCAGCTGGCCAGGGTTCATTAAGTGTGCTTGGAGGCCTCCCTCCCAGGGAGCAGTGGGAAATTATTCTCCGCCAGGCCAAATTGCTCATCTGATGCAACTGAGTTTGAACGGTTATCCGGGAAGGAGTTTGAGTGGTCAGGGTTGACATTAGCAAGGCCAGATAGGCTGGAGCTGGAGCTGAAAGGGAAATGGGAGGTGCCGGTGGAGTGGGAATTGTGGGTGTTGGTAGGCCCAGGATTGGTTTTGCCAGGTGGGGGTGTCAGGAGGCCTCTCCTCTGCCTGACCACGGGGTTCCAAATTTCCTGCAGTGTTTCTCCTTCGAGCAGGCTGGTTTTCTTGGCATCATTCAGTCTAGTTGCTAGGAAGCCGAATAAGGCAAATGCAACTTCCTTTTGACTTGCTCACATTGGACCATCTGCTTATTCCTTCTCATGGCCTTCAAACTTGGCTGGGATCGTCAAGAAGAGGGTCGAGCAGAGCATCTGTGCTCCTTATCCTTTTTGGAAGCAGAATGCTTTCTAGTAACTCTTTAACCCTCTCAGCCCAGTTCATAATGGTTAATCTTATTTAGCCCCTTGTTTGTTTCTGCTAAGAATTTGGAACAGCCAGTTCTGTTTTAGACTTTGCCCTTTATTTTTGTCTGGGATTTAGATCTGCATTAGACGTTAACCACACAACTTGCACTTGAGGAGACGGTGTCCATGTCTGTCAAATGCACTTGGCATGTAAACATAGCAGTGGTCTTAATTTAGGATGTTCACTTAATATTCAGAATTGATGCACATTTAGGAATTTTCTTTCACGAGCTCCATGGAATTAGTGTCAGATACAGTAAAGGTGGTCAGTGACCCATGAGCATTTATGATGATGTTGGTGAAACATTTTGCAAAGAGGAAGTTAAAAAAAAAAAGCACCTATTTTTAAAAGCAAATTACATACTTTGTTTTATTTACCTGCAACTGTCTTTGCAGGTTGGTTTTCTTTGCAGCAAGGCAACAAGTTACTGTCTATATTTCAGCGTGGTTTTAAAAATAGATGATTACCAAACATCGCCAATATTCCATCCTCATATTTAGGTTTAATTCATTTGGACGATTCAGATTCATGATGTCGAAGTTCTTTCTGTTGGCAAGTTTGTAGAGCTTTTTTCTTGCAACAGAACTGCATCTTTCGTCGTCAGCTCTGCAAAAGCAGTTGAGCAAAACACACTTCATAAAAATAGAAATAGGCACTACAAAATAGAGTGGATATGTTGAAAAAAAATCAAGAAGTCCTGAGAAAAACCATTGTTAGAGTTTTTAAAATGCAGTTTAACTGAAGAGTTAATCACCTTTGAGTGTACCAGAACTGTGGAAACTAATGTATGGACTACAGGAAATAATTTCTTCTTAAGTGTAATTTTGTCTTTGTTGGTTTTTTAGCAGTAAACCATATAAACCTTTTCTGCCGACTTCTTATTCTCCCCAAGAGGGCTACTTAAAGGAGGGTGAAGACATGCTAAGGTAAAATTTTATTGTTGTGGCTCAATTTGCTAAAAGCTTTATAGTAATTTAGATGTGTTCTTACTGTGCAGACTTCTGTGTTTGTTAAAATTGATGTTATTAATATTTGCCTTCTGGGAAGTCCCTCAGGTCAACTCGATCCTATTAAGCCATTCTGCTTTAACTTTTACCTTTCCACCATCATTTGGACTCCAGTAACAATAGCAGACCTACAGACAGAAGGGACTCTACTTCCTAGGCCTTTCCTCCATGGGTTTCAGTCAGCTCCCTGGGGGTTACCCACTTTGTGGGTTTTCTGTAGTAGGCCCTAGACTCCCTTCTTCCTGCTACCACACTACCATCTATGTGCTGGTAAATGTCAACAAAAGGCAAATTAACTTTATTATAAGTTGGTACTCTAGAGCCAAGTATAAATCTAAGTTACTTTCAAAAGTCTATTTTTTTAATAACAGTTTATTTTAACATCATTTTGTACATTTTTTTTCATCTCAGTTGTAATCCCTGCTGGTTTCCCATCACCAAGTCACCCGTGTGCCATCAACATAGTCCTGTGCACTTCCCTTCCCACCCCCCTGTTTTTGATCCCGTTCCCCACTCCACCCCCGCAAAATGTCTCTGGTATATGGCTGTTCATTATTTTCTTGCCTGGTCCATTATACTCCTGCTATGAGCGAAACCATTGGGTATTTTTCTTTCTCTTTCTGGCTTATCTCACTAAGCATGATCTTTTCCAGCTCCATCCAAGTTGCTGCAAAAGACATGTGTTTCTTTTTTTTTTGGTTGCTGAGTAATATTCCATTGTGTATATGTACCACATCTCAAAAGTCTATTTTTTTTTAAAGATTTATTTATTTATGCATACAGAGTTGGGGTACAGGCCAGAGATGCAGAGGGTGAGAGGATTCACCAGAGACAGAGCGGGGAGCAGAACAGGCAGATCGACGAAGTACACTGCTGAGGGGAGCAGTGGGCGGGTCAGGAGAGGTCTGCCACGCCATGTGGATCTCCTCCAGGGCAGGCGGGAATCGAACTCATGAGGAACTGGTTTCAGCTTCTTTGTGCAGTGCTTTAACCCGCTGCGCCACCAGGGAGGTCCTCAAAAGTCTATTTTTAACATAAGGAATGGACAGGTAGATATACTAGTGTTCAATAGGGGCCTCCCTGGCAGCGGAGGGGTTAAATCTTAGTGCTATCACCACTAGTTACAGCCTGAATTCAATCCCTGGCCAGGGGGCTGACCCACAAGATGCAGCAGACCTCTCCCGTCTTGCCCCTCACTGTCCTCAAATTGCCCAGTTCTGCTCCCCATTCTGCCTCTGGTCAATACTCTTACACCCTCTGCCCCTCCCAATTCTGACCTATACCCCAGTTCTTCAACAAAAAATAAATGGGTGGAGCTGGAAGGGATTATCCTCAGTGAAGTAAGCCAGCAGGAGAAAGAAAATTATAGGATGGTTTCATTTATAGGAGGACTATAGGGGAACCAAATAAGTAACAGGAAAATAAGATAGTTGCAATAAACCAAAATTAACAGGCAAACTGCATTCTGCAGGGGCGGGGGGAAGGGGCCAGAACAGGAGTGGGAAGAGACCAACGGACTATGGTGATGAGAAACAGGTGAGCTGGGGGTGGGACCTCCGCGGGGACTACACCTGAGAGGAGATCGCAGACATGGTACAAAAATGCGCAATGATGTGAAATGTATGTAAATAAGTGAATTTTTTAAAATGCCATGAATTGTAAAAAATGTGCTGTTTGAAGTTTTTCCCAGGGAGAGTATGGAAGGTGATAGGAAGAACAAAAGAAACTCAATGGATTTTTAAAAAATGTTCTAATACAAAGCAAATGTGTATTTTCAGAGCATATCAGTTTTTTCCTTGTTTTTTATTGGTAGATGGTTCTGGAACTTGCTTCCTTTACTTAAAAGTATGTCATGAAGGAGTCTTCACTGTCATTGTTCTTAACCAGTGTGCATGTAAGCCATTTTTGAAGGATGTTTACTCTGTCTTTATTCAACAGCAGAGTAAATCAGCATGGCAGTTCAAGATTTTTTTGCCTTGTAGTTTTGGTAAATGCAGTTTTCCTTGAACTGTATTTGAATTGATTTTTATATGTATCAGCCTTGACAGATCCTCTCTCTTGCTTGCATTAAAGATGAGATTTGTGTCAGATTAGATTAATAATTTAAAATTGAAAAATGCTTTTCCTCAACTGCAGAAGCTCTTGGAAGTATAGGATTCTGGAGTGACTACTAATGGAGCTTAGTTTCACTCAGGTAACATTTTCTTAAAATGAGACTTAGAATACTTGGGCTGTAAGGTGATCATCTAGAGAGGTTTTCTTAGGCCTGGTGTGAAAGAAGCCTGAAGGCAGAAATGGATAATAATGACACATCTACTGATGGCCTTTTCTGCCCCTATAGAAGGATTTTACCTGTATTAACTCTATTAATCCTCACAGCAACACAAAGAGGTAGGTCCTCCCTCATAACTGAGGTGTGCTAAGCTAAACCATTTATTCAGACTTACTGAGTTAGTAAGTGACGTGTTGAGATCCCAGCCCAGACCACTGTATTCCAGCACCACAGAACCTTTCCTGAATGACCAGGCTCCAGCTTCTGGGGGTCTCCCAGTGCCTTCTAACTGCTTAGTGAAGTCGTGAAAGGTTTCCACACTAATTCATTAAAAAAAAGATGTAGGCCCTCCCTGGTGGGGCAGCAGGTTAAAGCACAGCACTGAGAAGCTAAAGCCACTTCCGCATGAGTTC